TATTTGGACCTAAAACTGCATGGGCTCTAAAAGATTTTTAAAAGACAGTTTTTTTCTTGGCATGCATTTCTCCAAGTTCCCTCCAATTGTTGTTTGATATTTGAACCTTGGTTATGGGGCAAGATGACATTATTTACATGAATGTAAAGTTGTTTTCCAGCCAGCCTGAAACTGCAAACATGCAGACTTGCACATACTCTCCAGCCCCTGGGAAATCCTCTCCTGCAAGACCCTGAGATAACAGCAAGGATGGGAGCAGAAATCAGAAGGAGTCTTGGTGAGACTTTGCACCTGGCCCTTGACACATCCCCGTCCCTCCTGCCTTTTCATTTCTCATGTTCCGTTCCCTCAGCTCCATCTTTAAAAACCCCTCAGTAGACCTGAGTCCTTGAGATGGCTTTAGTCTGGCCATTCTCCTTTAGGTTTACCAGAGACATGGGTTAGCCCAACATCTCTCCTCAGGTCACTCGTATTCCTGAATAAAAGCTGACTTCCATTTTCACCAACATATGACTCTTGAGTTGTTTATTTTTAAAGGGGGAAAGGCAGCTGGACCTGTGCCCTGTATCACTACCTCTCTTTACCTAATCGGAGAATACAGTATAGAACGGGACACATCTACTTTGGCCCCATTGATGAGAATGGTCAGAATAGCTGGGGCAGCCAGTGAATATAAGAATATTGCTGAATGTTTCTAAGCCAATTCTCCCATTTGGTCTACAGTAGTGGCAGAAGCATACTGGTTAAGTACAGACTTTGGAGCCACACTGCCAGAGTTAAAACCTGGCACATCACTAAGTTACTATGAGACTTTGGGAAAATTAATTAATGAATTTGTATCTCAGATTACTCACTTTTGAATAGACATATGAACCATAACATAAGGAGAATACAGTATAGAACGGGACACATCTACTTTGGCCCCATTGATGAGAATGGTCAGAATAGCTGGGGCAGCCAGTGAAAGAATATTGCTGAATGTTTCTAAGCCGATTCTCCCATTTGGTCTACAGTAGTGGCAGAAGCATACTGGTTAAGTACAGACTTTGGAGCCACACTGCCAGAGTTTAAATCTGGCACATCACTAAGTTACTATGAGACTTTGGGAAAGTTAATTAATGAATTTGTATCTCAGATTACTCACTTTTGAATAGACATATGAACCATAACATAGCATATGACAGAAACCATAGGGTTAATATCCAAATTAAATGAGTTGTATAAAATTCACTGAGAACAGAACATGGCACAATAGCAGGTGCTCAATAATAAAGCAGTTACCATTAGTGTGATAATAGACTAAGAACAAGAGGTCATTTCTCTATATAATTAAAATTCTTCATCACCACCAGAACGTATTGACTGAGCAGGTTACTGAATGTGCTCAGCAGATGGGTACTGGGACAAAAACAATTGGTTATCAGGGATTAGGGCATTGTTTATTGGATCATAGAGCCTGTGTCCACAAGATCCCTAAGGCTTCTGATGAGAGAAGCATAATATGATGCCAACCAGAAATGTCATACATTTCCCAGCTCATACGTAAGCAGCACTGGAGACTTGTCCATTTTTACTTAATACTCTCACTACCTCTTCAAGTAGGTTCCAAAGTCCATTATGCATTAGGTGAAGTAGTATTTCTGTTCAGTGTGTTGGCCTAAGCTTCCTTTGCTCAAGCTTCAAGGGTGCACCATATGCAATTGGACCAGCAGTTTCTAAAATCCAGAGAAATCATTACCTATAAATGTATTCATTCTATTTATGCCTATCCTCGGTTTTAATCTGAGACGTAATCTTTCATTCTCACTATTTTTGCTTGTTTTTATATATGTTTCTGTTTTCAACCTATGAAAGGTGAGATGACAAGGACTTCCAAGTAAAAGATACCTGTAAAGTCAAAGAAGGTATTCTATTTAATTTCTGAACAAATAGTCAGTGTCTGAACATTTAATAATTCCCAGACTTTGGTTGACGTTTTAAGCAACAGCTGTATATTATGATGGCATACTCAGTCAACAATCTAGGATGTCAACTGAGACCTAACTTTGGTTTCTCTTGTCTCAGTTTCCTCATATCCCTTACTAGAGAACACTCAGTAGTTTGTAATCCCCCAGCTCTTCAGTAGAGTGGATGTTTGTGGCAGTAATTTTCATATTTTGGCTAACATGTCCCTATTTCATATGTAAGTCTGAATAAATACCATACTAGTCAGGTGTTTTGTATACAATTATCTCATAAAACTTGAAACTATTCTGAATATTGGAAACCACTTGACCTAGCTAATATAGAGTGTCCATTTCAAGGAACACTTTGGGAATGGGAATCTCTCCCCAAATTCTCCTTGGTAAAAGCTAGAGCACACCTTCTCGCTGTTACTTGAGCCTGACATTTCTTTTTTATTCGTTAAGTGACAACTTGCCAAATACCAGGAAATCAACCACATGCCTATTTAATCCGCTCAATGCCAATCAACTTATTTTTCTGACACAACTAACTGGCAAGTCACCATGGCACTGCAAAGACATGCTGCAGACCTTAAGTTCACTCTAAACAGAAAATTGGGGAGTTTTCAGTAAAAAACCATGGAAAGAAGGAAGAATTTGCATTTGCAATAAGGTCAATTTGATTTCTCACATAAAGTGTTTGAATTTTTGCAAATAAAGAAAATCAAGTCAGTAATTTTGCTTCTAATCAAAGCAGTTTTTTTTGTGACATTTATGCACATTTAACTGACAGACTAGATGAGCTTTGTCACGGCTTGTCTCTGCAGCCCCCAAAACTTGCTATCAACCTCTCAAACTTCACCTAGTATGCATGAGGGATTTAAAATAGTATCGTGAAATCTCTGATCTGGAAAGAACCTAGTCCAACTCCCTTAAGTAACAGATGAAGAAACAGAGACACACAAATAACCTCCCATTACTTCAGTCTTCATACTTGTGTTATTTCAATCCCCCACGTACATCTTTCTCTCTCTCTCCAGTCTTTGGCTTTCAAGCCCACTCTTCATTCCATCAACCCCACACTTTCACTGCTCCCTTGCCTTGTTAATTCTCCCTGTCCTTCTTCAGGTCCCAGCTTTGACATCACTTCTAGTTTGTTGACCTCTTGGTTTGGGTTAGAAGCCTTTTCTCTTTACTTCCGTTATTAGAGCACTTATCTCTAGTATTGTAATTGACACTGAAGTATAAGCCGGGGGAGGGCAGAATCTGTACCCACTGTTATACTTCCAGCCCATGGCACAATGCCTGGTGCATAGCAGATGATTAGTAAAACTGTAGTGGAATAAATGAACCAATAACATGGCAAGGACACACCTCTCACCCATCTTCCTTATGAAGGTTCCTTGAATTTTCTTTGCTTCTTTCCACCTCAGCCTTTACACAATATGTTTTCTCTGCCTTTTTTTCTCCTGCTTTTCCAGTTTTGCTTAGCCAACATCTACCCATTGTTAAGATCCTTACATTGATTTCACTTTTTCATGACAGCCTTCCCTGAACTCCCAGACTAAGCAGATTCCATGTATAGATAATCCCATTGTATTTCTCAGTGCTTTTTCCAAAATTAGAATTGAACTATTAATTGT